GGGGGGGGGGGGGGGGGGGGGTCCCGCGGGGGCGTGCGTCCTGAGATTGTGTTTTTTGGGGTATCTGTAGTTTTGTATCTCCATAGATATTGCCCGTTGGCGTGCCTAATCCCCAGGTATCCGTTCTCAGGACTTGGGGCCAGCGGAGCCGCCACGAGGTGCCGACGGCGACGCTAGCGGAGATACCACCGATCCCCGACCAGCGCGCGAGGAAAATCCGAACAATCCCCTGGGGTCGACGGCGCGGGCTGTTCGAGCGTATGGAGGGGAGGTGAGGATCCCGACCCACCGTAAGCGTGTGGAACTGCCTCTTTATTTGTGTCGTGTAAATTCTCGTGAGCAGGGTGTGCATGCCTCGGTTTTGTTGGTATCGGTGTGTGACCGTGTTGTTGTTGTTGTTGTTGTTGTGGTCGTTGTGTCTGATGTCGATGCTCTTGTTGTCTTGAAGTTAATACGTCTCCGGCCTCTATCTGCCGCCTCTTTCCCACCTCTACAAGGCAAAGAATCGAGTCTACGTGATTGCACGCCAACCCAAAATGAGGAGTTAATCAATCGAAAAACAAAACAACACAACAGCAAACTTTTCAGCAAACCCTCCGATGTAGCTTGTACTTTGTTCGGCGATGAGTACGTGTGCGTTAAATTTTGTTGGTTTTGTTCAAGCAACTGTGTGGTGCGATGATACATCGAGGCTGTTGGCGAACAACAGCAGCGGTTGCTCCTCGAACGGCAGCCATGAGTTGTCCCGCTCAAAGAAGTCCGGTGGGCAGCGCGGTACGTATTTACGTATTTGGGTTGTTTTTTCCCCCGATATTTTGCTTATGTGTACTGTTTTCAAGCCCCCCCCAGTGAGATGAGTCTTGAGTTCGATTTCCTCTCCCGACATGCTATTGCGACCGGCCGCAGGTGGCTCGCTCGCTGCACGCTGGCGTGACTCACGTGGTGGTGCACCCTGAAGATACCACAAGGATCGGTGATATCAAGGACAGAATGAGGTGCGACTGGAACCACTATTTTGAGATGTAATTGCCCTGGTCGGGTCACCCGTAATCTAGCCGGGTACGACTACATCTGTAGGCGCTGGTGGTGATACGCCCCTCTGTTACGATTCCGCAGCTACACGTGTGCCACCGGAAATTACAGTCCGTTCGTCCGGGGCGTTAAACGGGCTTGGCGTGTTCCTACTGTAGCTTGACTCTCAGCTGGTTGAGGCTTGGCTCTGTTACCCATGCCTCGTGGGTTGTCCGATACTTCGGTCCGGCGGCTTTATATCTACACAGCTGGTGCGGCAGCCAGGACGCGTTGTTTTCGGCAGAGAACGCTTTGCTTCCAAGAACCCCGCGCCTTTTCTTGCCGTCGGACAACTGTCGAACCGACTTTTCCCTCACACTTGCCTTTTCGAGCAGTCCAGATTCCAATGTTGGTATCTCCGCGTGTGCGTAGCAATACCCTAGGTTAAGATCTTGGCTTGGCTTATCAATATTGTCTGGTGGCTTGTTTTTGCTGTTGGTCATGCCGCGGTTCAACCCAACTTGTCCCCTGCGTCGTTCGTTACCCTCTATCGCTGGTCTGGGTCTGTTTTTTTCTCGCATTTGATCCTCTGGGTGGCGATCGAAGAGACCTGCACCACAGAGACGACCGCAGATTCCACATTCGCGTCGTCAAGCCAGAGTGGGTGTGGGAGTGCATCGAGAGGGGCAGGCTGGAGAACCCCAAATCCGAACACCTGATCTCGCTCGCTCCATCGACGAGTGAGTTTACTCACCCCGGAGGACTTCACTCTCGCGTGACGGACACGTACACGACCAATCACAAGGACGGTTCGGGGTAATTCTAGGCCCGCACGGCGAGGAAGAGACTTGACACAGTTGGTGCTTTCTGCAGAGTGCGATGTCATAAAACCAACCCATCGGTAGCCGTGTTTCTTGGAGGATAACGCGCCCTTCGCATTCGACACGAGAAAACGCACCCGGTGACAACATTTTGTACAAAACGGTATGCGTTATTGTGTAGGGCGTGTGATATGTTTTGTCGCCCTATGGGGTTGATCCGAGAGTGGCTTAGTGTTATGGGCTTATGTGAACCCAAGAAAATATGGCCACAGGATGTGTTGTACGGTGTGTAGGGTGGTGTTCTGTTATGTGGGTGTAGTTGTTTTGCGTCAACTACGTTAGTCTCACGTCTTTGGCTTGGCATTGCTTTCGTTCTGAAGGAACTTGGAAGCGGAAAAGGCCAAGTGCTCTCGTTGGGAAAGACAGGAGCGTTAGACAAGCCGGGCTTGAGTTCAAAGGCGAAATGTTTGCTTGTGTTGAAGGTGCCACGGTAAGGGTTGTTTAGAAACCGCAGAGACAGTACCCAAACCGCTTCCCAAGGCTCGTTAGCTGGAACCAAGACCAATCTTAAGGCACTTCGGTCTCCTGTGTGGTGACGATCGGTCTCTACGTCTTTTACAGTAGTCATGCGGTGAGAAGTCTCGTACAAGGTTAGACATCCCGCCGTACTACTCAAGAGTTAGAGGAACCTGTGCCAGCCCATGAGATGTGTTTTTGGGGAGACTGGAAGGTGTACTGAAAGGCGTCTTGTCTGTCTGCCGGCCTGTGGTAAATATTGTATTTCGGTTCGTTTGTTTGTGAGACTTGCCGGAATTGGTGCTGAGAGCGCGTGCATGGCCTTGGCGCGTTGCTGTCCGCCGGCGGAGTCAAGTGTATGTAAAGCTGGAGGGGTTCCTGGGATAGGAGTAGGACAGTTGACTCTTCTAATGGTACGATGCCGAAAGGAAGTGGAGGCTCCTTTTTGGAGAAATATGGATCAATCAAGCGAACCGAGCGGGGTCATTCTTTTGCACTACAACAGTTTATAGGCCCAGATACCTCTGTGTCCTATCTAAGCCTTAACCCAGCGGACAAGCGGGCTGGATGGCTGTTTTGGGCGGTTCATGTACAGATAACATCCGGAGTAGACCTTTGCTCGGCCAGAAGCTGTGTGTCTGCCGCGTGCGTGCGTGCATGGTACCTTCTCTGAGCTCTACCATCGGCTTTCAGTCGTTTTCGACACGAAAGAGATTTCCCCCTCCCACGATAACAGTCCGATACACTCATACACAAGATGGCCGTCGCACTGCTGGAGCCTCTTACCCATTACACAAGGGAGATATGACCGGGTATCATCACTCCGTGGTTCAAGTGTAGGTCAGAAGCACAGCAATACAGATATCGCCCGCAGTTCAGCAAAATTTTGTTCAGAAAAAAAGGCTCAAGTTTTTAAAAAGCTTAAGAAAAAAGGGTTAAGAAACATACTGTAGCTCACTCTCGGCCGCAACGTAAGAAACACCCCAATAAGAAACTTGATGGTGCGATTCCCCCATCACATCAAAAATCTTCGGTGCTCCCACCCCCCTCCCTAGCTGAACAGAGGTGCATTATTTTTTGTAGGCGGCAGAGAGGTCATTTTCGCGCCCCCCCCC